GGATACACACGTGCTGCTACATCAGCCAAACCCCCGTCTGGAGAAGAAATGACCCCATGGTGGCTGGCACAGCCTGTTTGGTGTTCCCTGGGAACCCAGCTTCCCATCCAACTCCATGCTGTGCCAAGCTGGAGGAGCACCCAGGCCACCACCGTCATCCTGGAAACTGCTCACCCACACGTTCTGGCCTGCCACACATAAAAGTGAGCGTTTCGGGTTGCCCAGCAGATGCGTTTATTTCTGTCCCAAGATTTTTTGGCCCTCCTGCAGCTCTAAGACACACAACCCTACGTACGCCTAGTCAACACAGGGTAACAGCATTAGCCCATCCGTAGCCTCAGGGTTCTCATCTCAACCAATGTTCAAGCAACGTGATACTTTTAGGGCACATACCAGAACTATTTCTTGTATCTTCTGCACAGAACCTGCAGCAAATGTGCACAAGGAGGCACAGGAGTAAGGAAAAGCGACTGGATGGATCCGACTCTGCTGAAAAGGAGGAAGCGTGGCTGGTTTCGGCTCCAGCACCTGCTTTCTGGCGGGGCTGCATCCACCATGCAACTCCTCCTGCCAACCCGGAGCCCAGGAAAAGCATATGTCACATCTCAAAAATCATGTCATTTTCAAACTCCTTTTTTTCTCTTTGCCTTCTGCTTTCTGAACCATTAAACTGAAGACAAGAAACATTTTCAGGCTTCTCTCAAGAGTCATAAACTCAAGCTTTCCTCTTTTTTTCTTCTGCTCGCTTTTTATTTCTATGTGCTGAGACGCACATGGAAATCTTTGGCTACCTGGAACCTTAAGGAAAACATCAAACCTTGTGAGACTAAGAGCAACTGCCTGGTAACCACATCTTAAACCACCCTTTAAATCACCACATAGTTCAGCTCAGTGTTTACTTTCAAGTAGTGTCAGAAGCTGAGTGTGGAAGCCCAAGTTCTTAGCCAGTGTAAACCCATTTCAGACGCAGGCTCTTTCCCTGCTCCAGAATCACTGTTTATATTCAGACAATACACTCAACAGGCACGAGATGAGCGTTCTTAGCCTCAGCTCAATGATTTTTCTGGAAATGGAGGATGGGAGCCCTGCCAGGGTATAGGAACTCCAGGGGTTTTGTTGAGGTTTGGATTTTCCATAGGAGCTGGGTCCCTGTTTCCCTTGTGCTCCTTTGGAAAATCTAAACTGATGTTAATAAATAGTAAAAAAAGAGAAATAGTACCAAACTGGCACTGAAGGAAAAAAATACACCTTGATGCAACACATGCCTTAAGAAGCCAGGGAAACATTCAGATTTAACACCAGCATAAACCTGGATCCTTCTGACTTCTGCCAGGGCAGTGCAATAAGGCCTTAAGTTTGAGTAAATGTCAGTCATCCTCAGGTGTCCCACTAGTAGTCCCATAATGGGATGTGCTAGCCAAAAATGGAAAGGAGGCACAGCATCTGCTTATGTTTAATTTATTTTTGCATTTTGGCGTGTTGTCCTGGGAGAATCAATGTTTTTAAGTGGCTGCATCTTTTGGAGCCAACTTGCTGTCCTTTGCTAACACATCAAGGACACGTTTCTGGAAATGGAATGTGCTCCTGCTGAAGCCAGGGAGGCACAGGTATGACAACATCACATTTTTCAAAATTAGCATGTCTTTTTAGAGTGAAATTCCCCCAATTTCATTCAAAGTGAACACCAGATTCCACCCTTCAACAAAGCCATAGTTCTCATTAGCAGGAGTTAATGCGCATGGATCACTGAGAGATGAATAAATCCACTTAAGGTAGTTCAGCACTCTGGCCAAGTGGAAGCATACTAAGCACCCATGTCCTCTGGTTACAGTTACTCTGGACTTATACAGAACCACTGATGGCTGAAATCAACCCACTGGTTTTAATAACTGCTGCTTTAAGCACGTACCTGCCATGGAACTGGCGAGCCTTGCAAAGTCAGGCAGGGCCGTGACCCAAAAAGGCCCTTCCAAGATGGGGGCTGATGGCAACAGAGTGGATGCCATCAACTCAAAAACACACGGAAAGGAACAGAATCACAGAATCCCAGACTGGGTTGGGTTGGAAGGGACCTTAAAGCTCATCCAGTTCCAACCCCCTGCCACGGGCAGGGACACCTTCCACTAGAGCAGCTTGCTCCAAGCCCCTGTGTCCAACCTGGCCTTGAACACTGCCAGGGATGGGGCAGCCACAGCTTCTCTGGGCACCCTGTGCCAGCGCCTCACTGGAACAGCAAAACAATCAAAACAACAATTCCTGCTAAACAATCCCGAGGGAAGGAAAGAGCCTGGCTTGCGGCTTTGTCTTTCTAAGGCTGAGTTAAAATAAAGAGCAGAGGGGCTCGGCGCACACTTTTGATTTTTGAATGCTAATTTCATTTTAATAGTAAGCTGCCTGTTTAAGAAGTAAGAGCAGTTCTGAAACACAAAGGTGCGGGGATGTTGTTAGAACTACAACGGGGCTGAGTGCTAGTTTTTTAACAATTTGGTAACAAGAAAAACTGGTCACATGCTGGGACGTTTTATGCCAAGTCTCAGCCAGAGCAAAATTTTATGGCCGAGTTATAAACCCTTGAAAATAAGGGTTTATAATAGAAATACTGACAGACCCTTAATTATAGCAGCACTAGCGGGCACTGTTGTAATAAGGCCCACATATTTTCCTCTTTGATCATTATTTATAGGATGCATTGGAAATCATCCCATTTACAACTGTATGCCCGCTCAGCTAGGTGGAGTTTCATCCATTAAGAAAGGGAAATACAAAGTGGGCTGCTGAAGAAAGCCGGAGGCTTTACCTCCCGGCGTTCCCGCGGCATACCAACCCCGAGCTTCAGGCAGTGACTAATGCCTTTACTCTGCCGGTTTGTATAAGAGGTTGAAGTTCAGGCTGGTGCAGTGCAGCATTCCCCGGGACCTGCTGCCTCTTTAGGCAGGCGATTAATCACTTGATCGATAGACCATATGATTAGGCACTAATAGCTGATAGGAGGAGAGAATAAACAACCATAAATTTACTTTGTACCGAGTAATCCAAGTGTAAGAGAGGTCAGATAATGGCCACATAAGGTCATGTTGCCTAAGGAGCCCATATGGGAAAGATGGAAGATACATACATTTTTAAATATCTTCAATTATTACTGTATTGCTGGGCAGAATTCGGGCTGCCGATGCATCCCTCTCTCTTTGAGCACGGGCAGGCTGTTGTGTTCCAGAGCAGGCTGGTATCAAACTGCAACAGCCGTTTCCACATCAAGACACAAAAAACCCCAACCTCAAAAACCTCAGGTCGTGTGATGATTTCAAGCTAAACATCCGCATCAGCAGAGGTGGCTGTAATCTCACTGACGCCAGGAGGTCCAGGTTATTGGCTCCAAAACCATACTGGAGGTGGGATGGAGGTGGCAGGACCTCCACTTCCAGCTTTGCTCCCACTGGGTCTTCCATGAGGTGCAGGTCCCAGCCCCGGTCCAGCCGCCGCCTCAGCCTGCAGCACCCGGGCAGGATGCTCTGCAGAAAAACTCTCCTTCAAAGGGCCATAAATCTCCAGCTCCCCACCCCCTCGCCCTCCATCCCTGCCTCCTGCCTTTTCTAAGGCTCTCCTCTTCTCCTGCATTAGAAAATGGTCTTTTCAGGACTCAAGATGCAAACCAGGTTTACAGCCTTTTTCTTCTTTTTTTTTTGTCTTCTTACTTTTTTTTTTTTACAGTAAACGTACCCTTTGTCTATGGCAGAGAAACAAAAATGGCTGGTTCAAAGGAAGAAAAAAATACTTCAGTCACCCCAACAAAGGCAAGGAGTTTACAAACCTTCCCCGTCAGCGCCTGGGCGCAAGCAAAGTACTTACTTCATTAAGTTGAAACAAAACTCAACCAGTAAAACCGTCAGCTCTGTCTGAGACAACCAGCAGGCCCCTTGTAGCATGCTCCTGATTGACCATCAGCAGACTATGTAAATCGCTTTTTCTGCCAAACAATCGTGGGGATAAATGCCCTCCTTTATCTTTGAGGCTATTTCTAAACTCCCCTTTCTCAATGACGGGACATTCATGGCCTGAAATCTTATTTTGTTGCTTCTCAGTGTTAGTGGGAAAGTGCATTCAGGGCTGCTGGGCTCTCCTGCCTCCACTGATTCCTCTGTCTGCCCCTGCCCTGTGTGCTTACTATGTGTAACAACACATCCTGGTGTTCGGAACCCGGAGGTGAGGATGCTGTTTGCCCTGAGTTTATACCGAAGCTGTGCTTCAGATAACACTGACGCTCTTGAGTTTCAAAGAGACCGAGCTTGGAGTGCTCCCACAACGTCAAGCAATTCAGTATCACTGGAGTGCTGCAAGGACTCCACATACACTTGACTCTGTGAGCGAGCACACACCGTGCAGACCTGTGCAAGATCACCCAGTTCCCTTTTCCCATATGTTCACCGTAGAACATAGAATCGTAGACTGGTTTGGGCTGGAAAGGACCTTAAGACCACCCAGTTCCAGCCTCCTGTCATAGGCAGGGACACCTCACACTAGACCATGTCACCCAAGGCTTCATACAACCTGGCCTTGACCCGTGCCAGGGATGCAGCATTCACTATCCCAGCCACCTGCCGCATGCACCTGAAGAGCAGTTCCTGATCCTCACCACGGTGCAGACACAAGTCCCTCAGGTCCTGCCCTCGCCTGCTTTGCTTTGAAAGAAAGGCTTCTACCATTCAACACAAGCACACTTTACTTTGAAAGCCCTGCACAGACATGTTAGATTAAAGATGGCTCCTCAATGAGTTGGAGGATAGCGTAACACCAAGAATGAAGAAAGTCAAGGGCTTGGACCATAAGTTTGATGACCTCCACCACACTTACGGACAACTTCCTTTAGCAAGGACTTCAGAAACAACTACAGCAATCATAATCAAGAATTAAATTGACCTAACAAGCAGTTTTTCTACTTCTTTGCACACTTTTTTACTACAAAGTGTTATCTCTTGCAATAGCTACTCCTTTTTTCTTTCCAGCTTGGGTGACACCATAGGAACATTCTCCTTGGAGAAGAGTCCCCAGCCAGTCCTGTCATCACTCCCAGCCTGGGAAGCTGCAGCCTCCAGCTACAGAACTCAAGGCAGGTGTAGTGACAGAAAAAGAGGTAATGAATTCAAACTTAAACAGGGGAGACTGGGATTAGACATAAGGCAGAAATTCTTCTCTGTGAGGGTTCTGAGGTGCTGGCACAGGGTGCTCAGAGAAGCTGTGGCTGCCCCATCCCTGGCAGTATCCAAGGCCAGGTTGGACACAGGGGCTTGGAGCAAGCTGCTCTAGTGGAAGGTGTCCTGCAGGACGTTGGAATTGGATGAGCTTTAAGGTCCCTTCCAACCCAAACCAGCGCAGGATTATCCTCCTCCTGGCACTATTTGTCCCTTCATACCTTGGCTTCACCCTGTGCTTCAAGAGAAACACGACTTTCACAACTATCGGTTACTCTTTCAAATAATATTCATGGGTGTGATTACATTTCAATCCGCCGGTGCAGTTGTCTGGCTTATCCAGCCAATGCATCCTTAGCCATCTGCTCTATGGTTTAATTTTAAACGTTAACCTAAGAGTGAAAAGGAGTTTCCCGTGATAAATTCATCCAGCACCATCCAGTCCATGTTTATTTATGCCATAAATAAAGAGCAGGGGAACAAATGACAATTATTAACAAAAATATGAAATATTACTGATCTATGTGGCTGGACTCGCTTCTCTCTAACTGGTCTTTTCAGTTTGCATCAGGAATTGAGTTAAGGGCAAGGGAAAGGATATACACCCAAGTGCAGACCTTCCTCTTCCCACCCTTTTCTCCCCTTGGTGGTTCAAGCAGCTGGAGTTGTTACCCTGTGATGTGAAATCTCACGTGCTCCTCGAGGATGCTGACATTTATTTAATTAATTTTCCTCCCAAACTTACACAGTGGGCCCGCATTCAGAGCGCGCACATGAATAATGCAGGTCTGAAAACCGCATTATTACAAAGGATGTCAAGTTCACACACTGTCAACACTAATAAACTCCCCAAAGTGCTAAAATCCAGGACACCCATCGTCCCCCCCTTCCCCATCACTCTATTTCCCCCCTTGAAGGCGATGCCGGCAGCCCCTGCTTTGTGCCAGCAAAGAGCCTCACATGGGGCAAACCACAGAGAGCCGGAGGACGGGACAGACCACACTGCCCCAGGGTAAAACACAATACTTGGGGCTTTCATTCGCACCCGGACTCAGCAGATCTCAAACCCATGTTTTAGCACTATTTGTTATTGCTGTGGTAGGACCCGGGCCCTTCCCCGACCACTTGCAGTCTAATTTAAGAGACGGAAAAACAAGTGAGTGAGACAAACCCTCAGAGGAATGGGGTACGAGTAACAAGGTCACATTGCTACACCGGTAGCTATTGCCAAACTTGCAAACTATCTGAAAGTTATTTATATATAAAATAATTAAAATCACCTGTCCTATCCTGCCAGCCTATCTCGCCATCCCAGGTTTGCTCCTGCCTCGCATGCCATGCAGCGGAGTACTTTCGGAGCCATGGTAGAGGTAGACCCAAGCAGAAAGCAGTGCACAGCAGGGGCATTGGTTGAGCATCTCCCAGTCAGGTGACAACTCAACACCAACAATCAGTGCTTTCAGGAAGTGAAACCCACCAAAACAACCCAGCAAGCAGGATCCAGAAGCTGAACCCGATCCACACCAGTGAAAGAATGAAATATTCTCAGTGCCTGGAAGAGATGAGCCCTTTTCATAGAATCATAGAATGGTTTGGGTTGGAAGGGACCTTAAAGCTCATCTAGTTCTAACCCCCTGACATGGGCAGGGAGATCTTCCACTAGAGCAGGTCGCTCATGCCTTTTGATGTCCTTTTTCTAACTCTATAAAATACTTTCACCCCAGGCACCATCATGCATGAAAGCAAACTGCAGAGAGGAGTATTAATGTTTCCTAAGGTGTCTGCTAAAGCATTAATAATGTTGAAGACTTTATATTCTACCAGCACGTCTGAGATGCATTAACTAGTCAAAGGACAGCCTTTCTTGGCCCAGCATTAGAGACTTGCACCACCTGAAAATATTTGACTCCCTTACACTTAATGCAGATGAAAAACACCACAAAATGCCCAGGTGAAATTCCACCTTGACAGGGAGATGTGGGGGTGCACTTGTCCCCGGGAGGGCTGTACATGGTGCTCTCAGACCCAGCCTGGTCACCTCTCCTTCTCCAACATTTCAAAAGCATCTGTGATATTGATTTCACATGTTTGGAGAGTCAGGAGGGGGTTGAAACTGTGACTGTGGTAGAGTCTAGAGGTTGTTAGGATTATTCAAGGTCCTACAAAGCCTTTGAGATGTTCACATGATGAGCATTATCAATACGCAGCACTGTCTGACACCATCATTTAAAGAGGAATGTACAAATACTCTACATGCACTTAAGCAGACACCTACCTCCCTGCACAGAAGCAAGACAGGCACTTCAACATGCCAATAACAGAAAGAGTTCTTTCTTCATCTTGCACAGGCAGAGGAGGGAACCCAGCATGTCATGGGGGAAAGCCCCTGAGGCAGTGCACATCAGCACTGTCTCACCTGGGGGTCACCTACTTTCCTTTCCTTGCTAACAGGCAGTAAAGCCAACTCCACAGGTAGGAGTGAGACAGCCACGTAGCTGCATTTCAACCTGGACAGATAAGAAGAGATCAGGATGGCAAGAGGTCATCCTCACAGACATCCCTGATCTCTGCCCCGGGCACTAGGTCATCCGGATCCTACAGCTTCTCTCACACCATATCCTGCCCTTACTTGACATGCAGCAGGAGCAGGAGATGCTACAGGCAAATGTGCCACAAGTGTCCAAACAGCTTTTCAGCAGTGAAACGACCCAGGCAGTGGCCCCTCTGCCTTCCGTGTCCCACCTAGACCCAGCCCAAGCCCAGCACTCCATGCTAGTTAGAGGGGGTTGAGCTATTTTTAAGGCGCACGACGCAGACGCATAGTGAGACAAGATGTCTTCCCGCAGAAAGACCAAGTAAATAGTGTATAATGACAGGATTTCTATTATTGATGCTTCAGCAAATCATCTTAGATCCTCGGAGGATCAATTAATCATTGGGATTGTCAACACCCAACTCCATGTTGTGAGTTTTTGCCATCCAACTCGCCCATCCTCCCCTCCACACAAATGATGCTGGGGGCACGGTGCCAAACGAAGCGGAAAAAGAAAGAAGGGGAAAGAAAGCATCGAACAGAGAGGCTGTTGTCAGGGCTGGACCCTAGCGTTGGCGAGGAAGATCAAATGCAGCTGCCCCCATGGCTGCATGTGGTTAAGCCCGCCGTGCCTGAGGGCAGGCGGGATGGGGAGCAGCCAGGCAGCCTACGACGGGCACAGATAATTAAATCATCCGATTGCTGGGCAGGCCACATTAAGAAGCTCATCGGTTTGCATGTGGCCCCTTGCTGTGGCCACCCGTGAGCTAAGTCTTGCCTAGATGCTAGTAGGACAATTAAGACAAATTGTATGGCTGAAGATCAGACTAGAGCACTGCCAATGCCCTTGCCTGGAAGCTCCGCTGAAGAATGAGGGCACATGTGTGTGGGAACCAAGGCTCGGAAGAGAGCTTTTAATGAACAACGTGCCAGCATTTGTTGCCAGAACACACTCTTCATTTCAGCTCTTGGAGAAAACAAAACCCTTAAAACCAGAGTTTACTACATTTCACTGATCTTCAATATGGCTGGAACTTCAGGATGCTTCTCCTCAAGCTAAGTTTGTATCAGTGAAAATATGCTTCTTGTTAAAGAAACTATTTAAAATGTGGAATCTAAAATCAAGCAAAAATAGCAGACAGTATGTTCAGCTTCAAAATTGGCTTGCACTCAACCAAGTATACCATAAACAGAAGGCAGAACTGACTATTTTTATCTTAACAGCCCTTGGGTGATTAAAATTTGGGGCCAGAATAAACAATTTTTTTCCCCATTCCTTGCAAGAGAATATGTGACATGGGCTTGGAGTCCTTTCTAATGTTTTAACTCCCTTCCTAGCTATTAGTTGTTTGCATTAGAAATGTTCCCATGTACCTGACAGCAGAAAGGCTGCACTGCACCAGCCACGGTATGAATTATAGGAACACAGAGACCACTGTGCCCTGAAGAGATTACCACACAAGATAAGCCAAAGACAACAACAAAGCGCTAAGAGGGAGCAGGTGAGAAGTTAACAAGGGTAGGAATGCACAGATACACAACACATGCAGTTTTCCTTTATGAAGCTCAGTGTCATGGACAAACACTGTGGCCAAGGACACAAGGGAGATGAAGGTCCCAGGGATGCACCGAGGAGGGAGAGGACCAGATGAGGTCAGGGAAGGTGATGGGTGAGGAAGACACAGAGCTGCTTCTGAATCAAGGAGCAAGGAAGGCTGGAGGAGAGAAGGGAGAAGTGGCAGAGCGAAGGAGAAGGGTGAACGGAAGTGCAAGTGCTAACAGAGAGCACGGCTGGGAGTCAGGGATGCTTCAAGGGATGGCACAGCCAGGGTCAAAGGCCAGGGATAAAATCAAGCACCAGTGTGAGACGGTGAAGATGGAAGAGACTGAGAAAATCCAGGCCATGGAATGCACAGCTTTGCAGCAGCCGGGACAAGCAAGAAAGAGCAATCATATGTTGAGGGATGGGCAAGGCAAGAGAGAGATGGGAGGTACAAATTGTTTGCACGTTTGCGGAACAAGAAGTTGAAGATGGAGCCCAGGTTTTGGCCATCAGTTGGCAGTGGTTCCAGCGACTGGAGGAAGGAGAAGAAGCGGCAATAGGAAGAGGAGGAAGCAAGAAAGTCACTTTTGATGGTGTTAAATAATGCTGATGGTTTGTCTGCTCCTACTGGAGTAGCTATGGTAGGGCTGAGCTGTGGGACTGACTGGAGGGAGGCAGAGCAGGACGGCAGCAATGGACTGGGCATTATGGGAGCTGAAGCCATGGGTACAGAAGCAACTCATTTGAAAGAAGGTGTAGAGGAAGGAGCCCAAGTGAGATCTGGGATACCTGCAACACAAGGGGGTGAGAGGTTTTGACATTTACTGAGCTATGGCATATATT